CTGCGTGTTTCCTCATTAATCGGATGCCCTCCTTCATTCTTCATGGTCGGTCTCCCTTCCCTATCTTGTTCCCTACATTGTCTCCATTTCCATTAACACCTCGTATCTTTGGCTGTGTGTGCTTTGTTCACAATCTGAGTCTTAGAATAGACAAGCTAGATGCATGCTCCATTAAATGTGTCTTTCTTGGCTACTCTCGGACTCAAAAAGGGTACAACTGTTATAATCCCATTACTCGGAAGTGCTATGTCTGTCCTGATGTCACCTTTTTCGAGTCTGTCCCCTTCTCAGGAATTGAAGCATCTTCGTCTCCACCTTTACTTCCTCTTCCTCTTCCGGTCAGTGATCCCGTTCTGGGTGTTCCTGTTGGAGTTGACTCGYCACCTCATCCAGTGCAGATCCCTACTGAACGACCACCAATTCGGCAAGTGTATACATGTTGAACGATACCGGCCCCTCCTCCAGCTTCTACCTTGTCCACGGATCCTGTCGTTGCTCCTGTTGCTGAACCCTCAGGACTTGATCTACCCATGGCCTTACAGAAAGGTAAACGTAGTTCTATTCTCCATCCCATTTCCAATTTTGTTTCAGTATCTCGCCTTTCCGCCTCACATCGCCAGTTTGTTTCACTATTGTCATCTATTTCCATACCTAACAAAGTCCAAGAGGCTCTTAGTTCACTTGGGTGGAGGCAGGCAATGGAGGAGGAACTCTCTACTCTTCAGCATACTCACACGTGGGAGCTCACTACTCTTCCACCTGGTAAGCATGTTGTGGGTTCTAAATGGGTGTAATACTGTTAAATACTTGCCAGATGGTAGTGTGGAGCATCTGAAGGCCAGACTTGTTGCTAAAGGTTATTCACAGTTGTATGGAGTGGACTATATGGAGACCTTCTCTCCAGTGGCTAAGATTGGCTCTGTCCGTGTGTTAATTTCCCCGGCAGTTATGTATGATTGGCCCCTATTTCAACTTGACATAAAATATGCCTTCCTTCATGGTGACCTTATGGAGGAGGTATATATGGAGCAACCACCTGGGTTTGTTGCTYARGGGGAGRMTGGTAAGGTGTGTAGACTGAAAAAGGCAATTTATGGGTTGAAACAATCGCCTCGTGCTTGGTTCGGGAAGTTTAGTGAAGTGGTGAAGAATTTTGGAATG